ACCTCCACCTCCCTCGTGAGGCATGCACCACCACTGCCTGAGCTGTTTCCCTCTGACTTTAAGGAGACACGCTCTTTTTGTGTAGCCAGACTGGCTGTGAACTCACAACCCTCCTGTCTTAGCGCCTAAGTACTGGGACTACGGGCATGCGCTATTACTCCAGTCTTGTTTGTTTGTTTCAGAGAGGGAGTTTTGGGAGAATTTGGGACAGTTCAGTATTTTTCCAGGTCAAATGAAGGATGCGAGTATCATAAGGATGCCTAAGTCTAGTCCTTGCAGGAGAGAGCAATCCAAAAAGCTTTAGAAAGAAGCTTTCTAGATGGATTCAGATTCTTCCAGACTACACTGACCTTGAGAGTTTGTCAAGGTCACAGAGATGAGCAGCTGTAGCCATGTCCAAGAAGGCAGAGCCTGATTACCCCGGGAGTCACTAACATTTCGACTTCTAATGGGAAGCTTTGATTCCCAATGGGCTCGCCCTGAACTTAGCTTCTCTGTGGCTAACCAGCTCAGAAGAAATGAAGCAATTCCACAAGGATCTGTGAATCCCATCCTCCCTCTCTGAGCCATCAGAGAACTAAGTAGCTGCCTCACCTTGCAAACAGAGCATCTTACACCCCCCACCCCCAGCCCTGCCTTACACCTCCTTATACTCCCCCTTCTAAGGAGGAGTCTGAGCAGGAGCTGCCTGAGCCAAGACGTCTCCAGGCGTCTCATCCTCGGATATTATTTCCACTTCCAGCAGATCCTACTTGTCCAGAAAGGAAAAGCCAGAGCATCCTGTGCACAGGGAGCCCATGAAAGGAAAGGAAGGAGTCAGGTACGGTGGTACATTCCTGAAATCCTAGCACCTGGGAGGAAGAGGCAGGAGGATTGTGTGTTTGAGTACTGGGTTCCACAGTGACATCTAAGCCAGTCTGGGATATACAGTAAGATCCTGTCTCCTGCCGATTGCTCCCCTAAGGAGGAGGGGAAGCCAGCTGTGGTCCTTTCTGAGGGTGGAGCCCCTTTGTTCTGGAGGTGGGAGCTCTGTCTACTGGCCCCTTGCTCCCAGCCTCCTCGGTGATGCTCCCAGGGCCCACCGAGTCACCGAAGGGCAGCCCCACCTTCTTCCTCATGATGCCGGTCTCTCCCTTGAGCCGAAGGTTGGATTCCTTCTCGTCCCGAAGCTTTCTCTCGTACTTGGTTTTGATGTCTTGGATCTCTCTGTCTTCATCTTCTTCAATCTGCTTCTTGGTTTCCTCAAACTCCCGAAGCTGCTGTCGGACATCTTCCTGTGCCTGGCTCAGAGGGAGGGACAGAAAGAGAGTGCTGGGAGAAGGGGCTGGAGGTGCTGGGCTAAGAGAGCCTGGGACGCCAAGAGCACAGGAGTCTTTCTTGTGGAAGGGAAGAGAAATCAAATTACAGAAATGGAAGCCACTTCCTTCCTGTCTCCCTTCTCTCCTGACCAGGTCAGGCCTCAGGGTCCACCACCTTCTCTACCTCTTACCAGTACCCCATATCCTGCGTGCCCTGTTGTATCCCTGCTTTTCACACAGCACTCAGGCTTCAGGACCCCCGTCCCCTTTTTTTTCAAGACAGGGTTTCTCTGTGTAGCCTTGGCTATCCTGGAACTTACCAGGCTGGCCTCGAACTCAGAGATCCGCCTGCCTCTGCCTCCTGAGTGCTGGGATCAAAGGCGTGCGCACTGCCGCCCGGCCCAGACATTTTTAGAGAGCTTGGACCACTGAACTGTATTTGTAAATTTGGTTACGCCCCACCCCCCAGATGAGCACGCCTTGAGGGTAGAAACCTTGTCTGCTCTGCCCACACTGGACTCCCAGGGCACAGTGCCTGTGGCACACAGCAGCTGCCAGGCAAATGGCTTAGCAAATGAGTGGTTCTAATTACCTCCCCACCCCAAGCCGATCCATGCTGCCCTTTTCCTCCGAAAGGGAGGCAGAGCTCGGCTCCCCGGGATCACCTCTTCTAGAAGGCTCGTTTTCTCCTGGAGTTTGGCCTCGTAGAACTCCGTCAGCTCCTCCAGGGCCTGGCTCTTTGTCTCATCGTTGTCTCGGAGCTGTTTTTCGTATTCCTCCTGCATCCTCTGGGACTTGAGCTGCAGCTCCTGATACTTCTCATATTCTAGGAGCAGCTTCTGGTTGTTGCAACACTCTGAAGGGAGACAGGAGGGTCTGCGTGCCGTGCGGGCAGGCCGTGCGGGCAGGCTGCAGCAGCCTTTGGAGCACGGATGACCCCCCCCCTCCCCGAGTGCTTTCCTGCTCCTCCCTTGCCAGCTGGAGCTCACCTCCACCAGACCCAAGGTTCAAGCCTGCCTAACTCCCGTGACTGCCCTGCTTATCTCGCACCAGGTGGCCAAGCTCCCGGCACCCAACTCTAGACAGAAAAATCATTTCCATGAAGGTCCTGGTAGGAGGCATTTGAGGGTTCAGGGTCAGGAAAATGCCCGAGTATGCAATACAGGTTTTATAATTCCATTTTATAGATGACCAAGCCGAGCCTTGGTAAGGCTGGGTGATACCCCAGAACATACAGCAAGCCAGTGCTGAGACTGGAACTCTGTCAGGCTCCAAACCTGAACTTGCCACTGGCACGTTTGTATTTTGAGGAATGGGCAAATTCACAGAAGGAAAAACTGTGGTGAGTTTCAATAAAGTAGTGCATTCATAGACAGAGCCGCGTTCCCTGAGCCACGTGTCTGGGGGCCATCTTTCAGATGGTGGGTCCTAAGCTGCCTTGCCTCAGCAATATGGCTCCCTCTTGTGGCTCACCCAGGTCTTGCAGCTCCCGGCTCTGTTTGTCCAGGAGCTCTTCTATGTGTTCTCGGTGATGGACGTCCTGTTTTTCTTTCTCTGTTTTTAAAACCTGAAACAAAGAGTCACCTTTTCTCATTTCTACACATTTGTCAAAGGCACCAATAGGACAAGAGCTGCTTTTACTAGTAACATCTTCATTCATAAATTTTTCGCAAGCCCTGGCTTTGCACCAGACATTGCTCTGTTGAGCCATGACCACATGGGCATCTTTTATCCACATCCTATTTGGCTCTGAAATGGCTATGCTTTTCTCTTTATGCACACGTGGTAAAATGGATTCGTCAGCAAAGGCTTTTGGTTTGGACACGGATCAAGTAGATTTTTAAGGAGAAAAATCAGGGGTTCATTCCAATCATCTACTGCTGATAGCTGGGTATGGTGGCGCATACCTTTAATCCCAGCACTTTGGCAGAAGCAAGCAGATCTCTGTGGATTTGAAACCAGCCTGGTCTATACAGTTCCAGGCCAGTCAGAGCTACATAGTGAGACCCTGTCTCAAAAAGCAAACCAAACCAACCAGCTAACCAACCAACCAACAAACCAACCAGCTAACCAACCAACTAACCAACCAACCAAACAAACAAACAGAAAGTCCCAACAACAGCCCCAGTTGTATACTGCTGGCACATTGCTCTCAGTTCAGGATGCTTATGTTTAAGTACTGACCTCAGCCAGCCAGCTCCTGGCAGGCTGAGGGTACCATCCTGGGGCCTGGCTTTGTGTTTGGCTTATGAACAGCACGGAACTAACACTTGATGCCTGGCTGAATGAATTATAAATAAATAGATGAACAAATTGAACAGCCAAGGGCTTTTCAACCAAACAGACCCATGAAGATAGGTGACCAGTACAACTACTCCTTGAGCCAAAAGATGGGGAGTTGTAGATGAGGGGGCCTGGCAGACTTGGCATAGCATAAAGACAGGCTTACAAATTCTGGGGCCAAGCCTAACTACAAACTGTTAAGACAGATTTTATTTTTGACAATCTAGAAATCAACACACCTGCTAGTCCCTTCTCTTGCAATCTCGTTACTTCATTTTTTTAAAAATGAGTTTTCCCTGGTCACAAAAATAACAAATTCTCACCGTGGAGAATCTGGGAATTCCAAAAGTGTATTAGAAACAAAACGTGAATTATCTAGAACAGCAGCGTTGTGGGATAATCATACTGCTACCTCTTGCCCATGCACCTGTTTTACCCGGCAGTACCATTCGCTACGGAAAGCTTCATATTCTGTCTGTTGACCATGTGTCCCATACATCTCCCCCAGCAGCCGGGCGTTACAGCTGGGCAGTATGGATGCCTTTAGACCATGCAGCTGGCCCCACACTCATGGGAAGTGCTTATTGCCGAGGCTGTGGGTTCCCGCTCTCTGGCACACCTGGTTCTTGGTCTTTAAGGACTCCATCTCCTGGATGAACTTGTCTGTCAGCTCCTTGATCTTCTCCGAGTAGTTCATGTCCTTCAGGCGCAGCTGATACTCATTCTCCATTTTCAATTCTTCCACACGTGTCTTCAGCTCCAACATTATCTGGGCCTTTGGGAGGAGGAAACAGAATTAAGAGTGCTCACAGTGGGGGGTGGGGTCAGAATACCTAAACCTGGGACCTTGGCTTCAAATGTAGTCAGGCCCTGTTAGAACTTGTCACCATTTCTGTTACAAGATATACAGATGACGTGAGGACACACACGAGACTCTTCCTCTAGCTTTATAATATGTGCTCAGTGGTCCCACTGTGTGACAATGGCTCTCATGTGTCTTTCAAATTGGCATAAATGTTACCTGTTTGGTGAGGCCTACTTGGACCATCTATTTAATCCTGCTACCCTCTGGTCCCCATTCTCAACACAGAATTATTGACTCCCCCCTTTTTTATTCTTTAATTTTTTTATTAAGACATTTTTTATTCATTTTACATACCAGTCACAAATCTCCATCTTCCCTTCTCCCACCCTTCCAGCCTCCCCCCCAACCCACCCCCTATTTCCTCCTACAAGAAGGTAAGGCCTCCCATGGGGTTGACTTCCCTTCTTAACCCCATCTTATGCTCTATCTTAAATTATTTCTTCAGATATCAGCACTCGGTAATTATTAAATGATTTGCTCATTATTTTCTTTATTCTGTTGTCTTTTTCTTTCATTAGAAATTTAAGCTCCCCACGGCTGATGTCTTTGTTGGTTTTGTTCTCCAATGTAGCCCAAGAACAGGGCTAAAACAGAGTCGGCAATCAAGATACTCTCCTTCTCTGTGTGTGGTACTTCAAGTCAAACCCAGGGCCTCACGTCAAGAGTTCTACATTGGGCTACACCCCAAACCCAAAAGATACGTGTTGACTGCCCCTGTGAAACCCACAGCCTACTGAGGCAGCCAACTAAACACGCGATTACAAGCTGTGACTGAGTGGCCAATGACGTGAACACTGCCCTCTCAGGTCTTTCACGCCTCTGCTGCTGTTACCACGGTTACTTTAGCACAAGTCCCCGTTCTCCTGGGCTCCAAAGTCTAGTCGCTAGTGTTTGTTCTTTCTATTACAATGGAAGTTTCCTGAAAGTCCTGAAATATGCAAACCCCTCATTTCCTGAAGAGCCAATGCTGAAGACTGGGAGAGGACACAGATGATTTCTTCTTGCTCACCTTGATTACATCCCACACACCTCCACCTTGTCTTTGCTGCTCCGTTTCCCTCATTTCCACGACAGCAAGGAACACGTGACATTTGTTTCTGTACTCCTAACTGGAACCTGGTATGGACTTGGCATGTGGGAGGCACGGAGAGGAGGGATGTCCACTCCGGGTCCTCATGTGGTTTGGCACCAATGGGAGGGAGAGGGAGAAGAGTCCGAGCTTAGAGACCACTGGAGTGTTATAGGTCAAGTACAATGAACGGATGTGGCACTAGAGGGCCCCGGAAGAGCGCCATCTAGCCTCCTTAAGCTGGCTTTGGGGTTATGAGGACTTTTTGATTTCGGTGCGTAGCACAGAATGCATTAGAGGTGAGGTGACCAGCTGGAATGTGACTGCAGAGTTCCGGTGAGAGGTGGTAGGGCCTTGAGCTGAGGTGGGCGAGGGAAGCATGGAGGAATGGAAAGACTATAGAAAGAGATTCTAGAAAACGTGGTGCCTGACTGGCTCTGTGGCGGCGAGAGAGGGTCATGTTGGAAGACTCCCCAGGTGACCGGCTGTACCAAAGCGCTGGGTTTGGCCTGTCTGGCTTCATGATCCTTTCTCCCGAACCTAGCAACAATACTGTCAACACTGGTAAATGTTCAGCATGCGGCTCAGTGGCCCCAAGGCCCGTGATGAACTGGTGAGACATTGTTGCAAATGGTCCAGTTTTTGATGCGGGATGTCCGAGGTGCTTGTTCACTGGCCTTCCATATTCTGTACCATGCTGCAGAGCATCTTTCCAGGGTGGGAATCTTGTCATGACTCTTCCTGATGTACGGTCTACCTGTGGTCCTTCCCAGCAGTTTCCAGTCTAAGACGTGCCAAAGGCCTCTGTGGTCTCTCTGATTCTCTCCAGCTTTCTCAGCAACACACATGCTACTCACAGCTGCTAGGCACATCTTCCCAGAGGGCTACCTCTTTACCCCTCCACACACTGCTTGCTCCATAGGGAAGGCCTTTTCTTCTGGAAGGTGCTGTACAGGGCTTGCTTCCTCTGACCCAGCCTGGGCTGGGCTGGGGTCCTTCCCCTGCGTTCCCACGACAGCATTCTTTCCCTGTTTCCTGTTCCCCGGCTTCCCTCCCAGGCTGCAGGCCAAGGGACCCCCTCTGTGTCTTTTATCTCCATCGTTTCAGTGATGGGGGGGGGGGCACGTTTCAGGCACACAGCAGTTGCTTCTGTTTCCAGCACGTGGATATCCATGTGCATCTAAATGACCGAGTGAGTGAGGAAATCCCTGGCTGAGAGACAGTTGCTTGGAATGTCGCCGAACAGAACGACAGGGAGCTGGAACCAGGGAGAATGTGGAGTGTCACTTCAGGGACATAGAGAGACAGGTAGGAGAGGG